TTCTTTTATTTATGTTTCCTAACCAAGTTTACTGAAAATTTTTTAATAGTTAGGACCTTAAAACAAAAAAAAACTATTTTTATATATTCCAACGAAACTTTTCTAGAGATATCTTAGAAATTAGAAAAATTTTACTTATTTTCAGAGATTATGAAAAAACAACAGTCATTCCGGTTTGTTTTGCCCGATTTAAGTATTTTTTCACCGATTTTAGTTAATTCTTAAACATATTTTTAATTTCAAAGGTAGAAAATTAAAAAAAAAAACTAATTCAACAAAATAAAAAAATATATATATATTTTTTTAATGGAAACAAATAATGTTTTGTGAGTTTTTAATCTAATTTGCAGAATTACATTTTCATTCGATCAAACCTGATTAAATTTTTAACGACGCGTAAATATTTCTTTTCTCAAATAAAAATGATAAAACGATGCTCTTCTTTTCTTTAATTTACACCCGCTGATAAATTTGCGATAATTTTTATGTTTCCCATAGAATTTATATCTCAACGATTTATTAATAGTAGCTACCTTTCAAACAATTTTTTCTATTCAAAGATTTTCACTTCTTTTTCCAAGATTTTGATTTAAAAAATCGATATGTTTAAAGATCTTTTTCCAAAAATCTCATTTTTATATCATTTACAAGCAATTGTGTTCTCAGATTTTTAAAGTTTTATTTATTTTCAACAAATCTCAAGAAACAAAACTCAAAAACGTGAAATAAGGTAAGATGATTTTAAAGATTTTTATATTTTTTCCAAAATTTTGATTGTTATCTTTTTCAACAATTTTTTTCAGAACAATATTCATTAATAACATTTGTAAAGTTCAAACAATTTTTCTATCTCAAAATCTTGATACTTTTTTCCAGACTCCTATTTTAAAAACTGATTTGTTAAAGAATTTTTTTTCCAAGAATCTCATTTTTATCATTCCCAACCCAACATGTTCTCAAATTTTTAAACTTAAAATAAACAATTCAGCTTTATTTAGAAACCACAACTTTTTCAAAATTTTAAGTTTTATCTTTTTCTACGAATCCTTTGCAATCTAATTTTAGCAAACATGAGAAAACAAAGCAAAAAACGCAAATTAAAGTCTACGATTTTTTTTCAGGTTTTGTAAGTCAACTAGTAGATAATTATAGATTACAGCCTTCAAAAAATTTGGCTTAATTTAAAGAATTTCATTTTTTTTTCAGACTCTTTTTTGATTTTAATAATTGATTTAGAGATCTTTATTTTTACCTTTTATAACAAATCTTACTTATACAAACTGTAAATGTTTTAATTATTTATATTTTTTGATTATTTTTATTTATCTTACTTTCGTTTCTTAAAATAGAGAGAAAAAAATGTTTGAGATTAGGATTCGAACCTCGAACTTTTGAGAATTAAGTCCAAAAGATTTTGGAAATTAAAGAGATAAAAAAGAAAAATAGAGAACAAAGAATAATTTTTGATAATGTTGATAATTATGCCTGAAATCCATTAAAAAGCAAAGAAAACACATGCTTGGCTTAATTTAAAAATTTTCGCATTTTTTCCAAACTTTTTTTTTTGATTTTATTACTTTATTTAGAGATCTTGATTCTTACCTTTTATAACAAATCTTACTTATTTTCAGAAAACATAAAAAAACAGAGCGGAAAACGATTTTTTTCATGTTTTGAACAGTGAAGTGGAGATTATTATAGATTACAGCTTTGAAACAATTTTGTGTTTTTAAAAAAATTTGATTTTAATAATTTATTTAAAGATTTTTTTTCAAGGTTCTTTTCTAACCAATTTTGTTCAACACAAAAATACACTATTTTTATCTTTTCAAGCAAATTCTTTTCTAGAGGGATCTTAGAAATTATGAAAATTTTACTTATTTTTAGAGATTATAACAAAAAACATTTGTTTTG